GGCTGGGGATTCGAACCCGCCACCTTAGGTGTACGTGGCTAGCGCCTTAGCCGGTTGAGCTATAGGCGCCGAGCCAGTACCATGGTATTATAGCTCACAGCTACCTCATACTCTTGGATTCAAGTGATGCTTTCATCTCAGCCTATGGAATAGCTGGGACTACAAGGACCTGCCCACAATGCCCAGCTATTAATTAATGATTTTCAGATCTGAATAGCATAAGACTTGGTTTAAATCATTTTTCACTTGGCCTCTGTTTTAATGAGTGTTATAGAAAACTTAAGTTTTGTTTTGTTTTTTGAGGCAGAGCCTCCAGCTATCACCCTAGGTAGAGTGCTGTGGCGTCACAGCTCACAGCAACTTCAAACTCCTGGGATTAAGTGATTCTCTTTCCTCAGCCTCCCAAGTAGCTGGGACTATAGGCGCCTGCCACAATGCCTGGCTATTTTTTGGTTGTAGTTGCTATTGTTTGGCAGGCCCAGGCCAGATTCGAATCTGCCAGCTCTGGTGTATGTGGTAGGCACCTTAGCCACTTGAGCTACAGGTGCCACCCAGAAAACTTAAGTTTTTATGTTAAAAAGTTGAATATGTCCATGAGTGTCCATAAGAAGATGATATGCTTCATGGATCTCACTGCAATATTGTTCAGATTAGCAAAAAACTGGAGATAACTGAAAATATCAATAAAAACACAAAGAAATAAAACATACACTCATAGACAAAATGGAAATATCCCTAAGACATAGTATATCAGGTTAAAAAAATAAAACTTAGGCTCAGCACCTGTGGCTCAAGCGGCTAAGGAGCCAGCCATATACACCTGAGCTGGCAGGTTCGAATATAGCCACAATGATGGCTACAATCAAAAAACAGCCAGGCGTTGTGGGGGCACCTGTAGTCCCAGCTACTTGGGAGACGGAAGCAGGAGACTCGTTTGAGCCCAGGAGATGGAGGTGCCGTGAGCTGTGATGCCACAGCACTCTACCCAGGGGGACAGCTTGAGGCTCTGTCTCAAAAAAAATAAAAATAAAACTTAAAAAACTAAACTGCAGGCCAGGTGAGGTGGCTCACACCAGTAATGCTAGCACTCTGGGAAGCTGAAGAGGGTGGACTGCATGAACTCACAGGGTAAAGACCAGCCTGAGCAAGAGCGAGACCCCATCTCTAAAAAATAGCTGGATGTTGTGCAAAGTGTGTGTAGTCCCAGCTACTCAGGAGGATAAGGCAAGAGGTTCGTTTGAGCCCAAGATTTAGAGGTTGCTGTAAGCTGTGACAACATGGCATTCTATCAAGGGCAACAAAGTAAGATTGTCTCAAAAAAAAAAAAAGAAAGAAAGAAAAAGAAAAGAAAAGAGAACGAAAGAAAAAGAAAGGGGCAGCGCCTGCGGCTCAGTGCATAGGGCACCGGCCCCATATACCAAGGGTGGTTGGTGTGTTTGAACCTGGCCCTGGCCAAACTGCATTAAGAAAATAGACAGGCATTGTGGTGGGCACCTATAGTCCCAGCTACTCAGGAGACTGAAGCAAGGGAATCTCCTAAGCCCAAGAGCTAGAGGTTGCTGTGAGCTATAATGCCACAGCACTCTACCAAGGGTGACAAAGTAAGACTCTGTCTCTAAAAAAAAAAAA